ATTCCCTCATCTTGCATCCATCCCCACTGTCGCTAATCTTGCCACTCATCTACGCACCCTTGAGACTAGCTACCGCGCTGCTAGCACTGAGGCCCAGCTCGCTGCATTCGCTACTTTGTACCTCGTTGTCATGCACCTTCCTGACCACCTCGCCACTACCCGTGACTACTTCCTTAGTCAGCACCCAGGTGACCTCACCCTTACTGCCTTTGTCACCACCCTGTCCATAATAGAGACCCGCCAGTGCATTATCCCTCAGTGTAGTGGTACTGCGGCGATCCCTATCTTTAAGGGTTGTGCTCCCTCCCAGTGCACTTACTCTGACGTTTCTGCTGCTCTCGCTGAGATAGCCCCTGCTACTGAGACTGCCGCTGCGGCGACCTCAGCGCAGCCTTGTTAAGGTAAGGGCTAACCCCCATAAGGGTGGGCGTGGCGGAGGGAGGGGTGGTGGGGGTGGCGGTGGTGGTGGAGGTTGGGCGAGTGCCAATGGTACCGATGAGTGGACCAGAGCTGATCCCCCAGAGCTGCAGCAGCAGCAACAGTCGCACGTGGACGTCTGGGGCCCAGCCCCAGTCCCTAGGCCACATTGCGAGCGCTACTTTCTAGTGCTCGTTGATGACTAGGCACACTACACCACGGTTTTTCCCCTGGAGCGGAAGGCCGACGTGCGTTACGTTCTCATCACGTGACTTGTAGCTGCGCGTGTCCACCATGCTCTGCCAGTGCTCCGTCTCCACTCGGACCGTGGCGGTGAGTTTGCCTCCAATTGGCTTGGCCAGTTCTGTCGTATGGAGGGCATCACCCAGCCGTACACCGTGCCGAACTCCCCGCAGCAGAATGGGGTCACTGAGCAATGCATCAGTTTGGTCATGGAGGTGGCTCGTACCTCCATGATCCATGACAGTGCACCCCATTTTCTGTGGTCGTTCACTGTTCGCTTCGCCGCTCACCAGCTTAAGCTGCGGTCCCACTCCCAGCGGCCGCAGGTTTCGCCAACCCTCCTCTGGACTGGGTCCCCTGGTGATGCGTCTGCGTTCCACGTCTGGGGCTGCCTCGCTCACATTCATGCCTCTGGCACGAACAAGCTCACTGCCTGCACTATCCCATGTATCTTCCTTGGCTTCTCCCTAGACGTGTCTGACTGGCACTTTTACCACCCGCCGTCTCACTGTTTCTTTCACTCTCGTGACGTCGCTTTTGATAAGTCTGTCTCCTCCTACACCCGCTTTCCCTGTCGTGGTCTCCTGGTTACCCCGCCCCTCTTTCTGGTTCCCACTCCCCAAGTAGCCCATGCTCCTCTCCCTCCCCGTCCTGCCCCGTTTGGTGTGTCTTACATCACTTCCCTCCCGTCAGTTGTCCTGGTAGAGGATTCGGCTGACTCTGGGGGCCCTGCGACTCTAGTTTTGCCACTTGTCTGTGCCCTGGTGTCTCCTCCACCGCCGCCGCAGCAGCCAAGGCCGTCACCATAGCAGCCACCGCCATCGCCGCCGCAGCAGCAGCCGCCATCACCGCCCTCGCAACCGCAGAAGCGACTACAGTCGATGCCGCCGCCGCAAGGGTCCACGAGTTATGGGAGTGCGGGCATTGAGGAGGGTTCTAGTCTTGGGGGTACTGTCGTGGCTAGTCCCGGTGGTCCTAAGGGTGGCACCGGTGCTGGAGAGGGTTCTCGTTCTTGGGGAGCTGGTTCTAGGGGTGCTAGTCCTGGGGGTACTATCATGGCTAGTCCCGACGGTCCTGGGGGTGGCACTGGTGCAGGAGAGGGTTATCGTTCTGGGCTTGCTGTCGTGGAGCATCCTGGAGGTAGCCGTGGTGCAGCTGGAGGTTTTGGAGTCGGCGTTGAGTAGCAGCAGCAGTCGCCACCGGTGTCTACCCTTCACCTCCTGGGTCTTCCCTCCCCTGACCGCCCGCCTACGCCTCCCCCGCCTGTCTACAGCCCTGTGTTTCCTCACCCGGACTCGTCCCTGGCTTGTTCCCCCCCTCATTCTCCTCTTGTGTCTCCTCCCTTGCCCCCTCTCGCTGGTGGTCTTACTGTGCCTCTCGTGCTCATCATATTTCTCATGTCTAGTGCTCCGCACTCATGTGTCTCGTGCTCCTCTTCTACCGTCGGCTTCTCGGTCGCCGCTTATTGTCTCTCCGGCTCCTTTCTCTAACTTCCTCCATGCCGCTAGTCCGCTTGTTCCTCGCGTTCTCGCCTCTCTTGTTACCAACCCATCCGTTCATGTCTCCAGTCTTAACGCTCTTGCCGCTGCTTTCGCTAACTTTGCTTTATCCGCCGCCTTGAATACGCCACAGCTCTTGTCTTTGACCTTGCCCGTCCTCCGTCCATCGGGGGTGCACCTTCCCTTGGCAGTAACGTCCTAGAGGAAAGGCAGAACGAGCTAGCTTTCCTGTCCAAGGCCGCTCCCCATGTGTGCTCCATGCTGCTAGTCCCGGAGGGTGACCCAGATGCCCTTGACATCCTGACCCCTCGCACTTCCACTGAGGTGACCTCGGGACCCTGGGCCTCTCGGTGGAAAGTTGCCATGGACGCGGAGATGGTATCTTGGAGATCCACCGGCACCTACGTCGACGCAGTTCCCCCACCTGGGGTGAACGTAGTCGATGGCCGGTGGCTCTTCAAGGTGAAGCGCCTTTCTGAGAGCTGCCACCGTTCAAGGCGTGCTATGTCGCTAGAGGCTTCAGTCAGCGCGAGGGTGTTGACTTCTTTCAGACCTTTGCCCCGACCTCAAAGATGATCACTCTTCGACTACAAGCTGCACTCCTTCGACTTCACTACAGCGTTTCTCCAGGGCTGTGTGCACGAGCAGGTCTACCTGCGCTGTCCGCCAGGATTCACCAGCACCTTTGCCCCTAGGACTGAGTGGCTTCTCTGGCGCCCGGTTTACGGCCTGCGGTAGGTGCTCCGTGAGTGGCAAGAAATTCTGCGTGCTACGCTTGCTGACCTGCGGTTCTTCCCGTCGTCTTAAGAGAGTTAACTCTTCGTTTGTTCAGGCCAGACCCGGTTCTACATCCTTGTCTACGTAGATGACCTGGTCTTCGTTACTATAGACAGACACGCACTGGCATCCGTGAAGGCTGAGCTGCTGAGGAGACACACCTGCACTAACCTAGGAGAGCTGCGCTGCTACCTTGGGCTGCAGATCTCCAGGGATAGAGCAGCATGCACCATCACTCTCACAGTCACACTTGGTGCGCCAGGTCCTTCAGAGGTTCGGTCTTCAGTTCTCCTCCGCACAGCCCACACCTCTGCCAGTAGATCTCTGGCTCTCCGCTCCCGTTTCTGAGGAGCCAGTAGAGCCCAGTGGCCCCTACGCAGAGCTGGTGGGTTGCCTCATGTACCCGATGACTTGCACTCGTCCAGATCTTGCATACCCTCTCAGCATCCTGGCTTGCTTTATGGCTGTAGGCAGACACTGACCACAACTCTGGTTGGCCGCTAAAAGGGTTTCGCGTTATCTAGCCCGTACATCTAGCATGGGGCTAGTGCTAGGAGGATGCAGGTCAGTGGTCCTTAAAGGGCACACAGACGCTTCGTGGGCGGACGACGCTGAGATGCTCAGGTTCGTTTAGGGTTATTGCTTTAGCCTTGGTGCAGGCACCATCTTGTGGAGGTTCACTCGCTCGTCGTCTGTTGCACAGTCTTGTTGTGATGCTGAGACCTACGCTGGTCCCATTGCGGCACAGGAGCTCCGCAGGCTAAATTTCTTGCTCACAGACTTAGGTGAGTGGCCTAGCTCTGCCCTGGTCCTGTACGCTGACAACAGGGTCATGATCCTCCTATGTCAGGAGCCTCGACTAGAGGGCAAAGTGAAGCACATCCATCTGCGGTACTTCCTCCTGTGCGAGCTACAGCAGCGACGCCAGGCCCGCGTAGTTCACTTGGCCTCTAGTGGCTGGTACAAGAGGTACTTTCAGTATTCTTTTCTACTTTAAGTACTTGGGTCTACAGATTCTATGCTTAGTCTCCTACTTCCTTTTACAAAGTATTGCATGGTATGAGAGCTATCTGGAATCAAGACTTTCGTCAACTCTACAAATGATCGGACCGGCATCGTCTCCAACAACTGGTTCTTCAACAATTGGACCGACAGGTGTTACAAATCCTGCAGTTTTTACAGGACAAGTAGGTGATTCCGCAGTTGGAAAATTTCCACCTTCTTATGCTTCAATAGGGTTGCCTCAACAGCAGCAATAGTTGCCTGCTCTGCATCCACCAAGGACTTTGTCCTCTTCGCGTGCAACACCACAACAAGCATCACAACAACAAGCACCATTGCAACAAGCAGATGCGTCAATAACAGTAGCCTTTAGTGGCACGAGTCTTGATGGATCTAGTTATGCAAGAACTGCAACTGCTCCAAGCTCCAGTTCTTTGTTTGCGTTTACACCTGCACAACAACAACAGTTACAGTTTATGGAACAACAACAAGTGCAACAACAGTTTCAGCAGCAATAGCTATAGCCACAATAGTTTCAGCAACAACCTCAATACCAGCAATAACAACAACAGTTTCCTCAACAATAGACTGCCTTTACTGGACCTATTTTTCAGGCTCCAAATCTTTTGAGCAGCACACAGATTAAGACAACAACAACTTTCAATGGTGCTAACTTCTACTCCTTGAGTTTTGAGTTCAAGCTCCTCACGAAATCTGCTGGATTACGGCCGTTCTTCAACGGTGATTATTCGTATCCTATCAGGGGAACACAGATGGAACAACACTGTTTTGTTCATTCTTCACTTTGGGCCTATACAGTCCTCAACCAAAATCTGTCGCTGAAAGAGCAGCTTTGAATACGCTCCCTTTATACCAGTTTGACTCCAGCTGAATCTGCATGGAAGCGTTTGAAGGGGTTATACATGTAGCAGGACACCATTTCCGCCAGTAAGATTCTTTCACAACTAACAACTGTGAAGGTGCAGGGCAACGAAAACGTTTCGGATTATGTCAACAGAGCTCGCACACTTCGTGACCAACTTGAAAAATGAGGCGGATACTTCCCAAAGGACATGTTTATAACAATCCTTGCCGGCCTTGGACCCGAATGGCGACAGTGTCGATCTCTTTTTCGAATTCAACCCAATCTTTCTGAAGCCGAAATTTGCTCAATTCTTCAAGCAGAGCAGCGAGACCTTGACCTACAAGCAGCACGTAACAAAAAGGTGGGGAGGGGGGGGGGGGTCATGTCAGCTTTTATTCAACACCTGCCAAACGCGTCAACAAGTTTTTCTGTCAGTACTGCTAAAAGGATGGACACAGCATCAAATATTGCAAAAAGCTTTAGGTTGATAAGAAAAGAGGAGTGCAGTAGCCATCGCAACAGTCCAAGCAACCCGTGAAGCAGAATCCACCAACAACAACTTCTGCCACATCATGAAAACAAGTCTTCGGCTGTGTTACTATAGTTCATGCAACTGATTCAGATTTCGACGACAATGATGAATCCAGCTCGATTGAGCAACCTGAAAATGTGGTCTTACCTCAAGTTTACGCTGATATCGCTTAGATGATTGCAAACCCCAACACTTGGTATCTCATCCTGTACCTGTCACAGTCGCCAACAGACAAACTATTATGGCAAGATCAATTGGCAGCGTCATGCTGGAATCCATTGACACTGGCTTTTCCTCACATGTTACAAACGTTCTCATCGTTGCTGGACTTGGTTTTAACAGCTCAACTCTTGTGACATCGCATCAGGACACAAGGAAATTGTGAAACCATGGACCATGAACTTTATTACAACGAGACGAATACTTACATCGGGAGAGCTGCCACACAATATGGCGTCTCCGTTCTTCAATTTGAAGCACAAGGAACTTCGGTTCCAACAGTATCTTGTATAGTAGTAGCAGTGATTACTACTCTTGATTCCTGGCCAACAAACACAGCCGAAGAAGTAACATCAGCATGGCAGAACAATTATGATACTCTAGGACAACTCACCGACAAATCTGCAGTATCTTGGGAACCAGGCAGCTGTAGCAGTGCAACAGAAGAAGCTGAGCAGCAGAGTAGCAGCGAAGCAGAAACAGGGATTCTCAGCAGTCAACCTACAGTAGATACGCAAGATACAAAAATCAAAGGAGGGGAGTTAGATCTGGAACCAGAAGAAATTCTCGTCGTGGAGGTTAAAACTAGTAAGTTATCGCTTACTCGCTTTGTTCCTGGACAACTCAGTAGGAAAATACTCAGTAGGAAAATACTAAGTAGGAAGCCTTTACTGAGTATCTTCAAATCCTAGGCATAAAACGCCGAGGATCTCTGCCACATCAACACCAACAGATGGGGGTAGCACAGTGGATGAACAAAACCTTACACGAGAATATGCGAGTTTTGCTGACTCAGGCAGCACTTCCACCACACTTTTGGACATACGCCCTGGACCATGCAGTTCTTTTGCACAACTTGCTGTCCACAATGTCTCTTCCACAATTTTCTTCTCCTCACCTGCAGTGGACAAAATCAGAAGGCAACACAAAACTTTTAAGAGTTTTCGATTGTGTCGTCCAGTACCGGCCTCCAACTGCAGCACTCGGAAAATTTTCAGGGGTATTCATCTTGGCATCGAGAAGCAGTTTTACGCATGGAAGATTATGGATCTTCGCACGAGTCAAATCATACCTACACGTAATTGTCTTTTCTATGAACGACTCACCTTTCATGTTTTTCGTGCTCAGCAGGCAGCAGCTGCCAGCCCTGCCAAGCTGTTCAAAGGCTCACGTGCCTTTGCTACCGACGAAGCTGAGGCAAACGTACAGGATGATGCAATTGCCAAGAATTCCAAAGCAACTGCCGCAGACATCCCCATGCCAGCCACGTCAGACGAAACTGCTGAATTCATCCCACTCTCCAAAGCTGATTCTGAAGACGTTCGGGATATTCTTATTGATTACGAGCATGATCGCTAGCAGCAGCCCATGCATGTTGTCTCCAAACCGGCTATTCGTGTGACACCTGGCAAAATTGGGGAGGAACAGGGGTCATAATACGGAACTTGCAGTTGCAGTACAGTCTAACAACAGTAAAAATTCGGAGCGGAAAACAATTTGCCAAGCTTTGACCAGTCCACACAGGGAAAAATGGTGGGAAGCCATGGACCGGGAGTTAGCGGCTATGTAAAAACGAGGTTCATGGGATCTAATCCCACTAAAATAATTCAAGGGGAGTAAGGTACTTACCTGCAAATGGGTATTTCGTGTGAAGACGAACGCTGATGGTTCCTTCAAGAAATTCAAGGCGCGATGGGTTGTCCACGGCTTCGAGCAGACTTTTGGACTTGACTACAAGATAACATTTGCTCCTGTCGGCAGACACACTAGTGCCCGACTTTACTCTACGTCGCAGCATGCCGGAATTTCATACTTCGCCAAATCGACTTCGCCAATGCATTTCTATATGCACCCGTCGACGCATTAATTTTGGTTGAGCACCCGCATTCTTATGAAACTAATCCTCCAAGTGTCTGCCGTCTCAGAAAGTCCCTCTACGGCATTAAACAGGCTCCACGCTTGTGGCAGCAGTATCTTCACGCTCAATTACTTGCTGCCGGGTTTCGAAAATTACCGCACGACCAAGGAATGTATTAACTTACCGATGGACCTGACTACATTCTGCTCGTCGCTTATGTCGACGAATTACTCTACGTCAACACCACGGATTCTCTCGCTACTGCCTTCGAACGGACACTTCAACTACACCTACAGATAAAAATCACACCTACCGTAACACAGTTTCTCGACCTAAACATTCATCACACATCAACTACTATTCATCTTACCGCTTCAAAGTATGCTGCTACACTAGCCACATGGTTTAACCTCACACCTTCGACAGTCACTACGCCTTACCACTCTCTGCCTACGGATCACAAGCATGATGCAACTCCGCTTGACAGCACCGAACTTCAGCTCTATCAGCAGCAGCTGGGTTGTCTTCTATTCGCAGCTGTGACATGTCACCCAGATCTCGCCTATGCTACTAGCCAACTCGCGCAATATCTGCGTCGACCTGAGGAGGAGAATCGGCTAGATCTTCTACGTGCCCTACTGTATTTTTTTTCGACACCTGAAGTCGGACTTACTGTTAGGATTAAGGACGGAGTCTAGGTGAACTTAGGAGCTAGAATTACTCAAAATATAAATCCGAAATTCTGGACAGAAAAGTCGTCTTCACAAGAAACGACGTCGACGGAAAACTAGCCGTTGGAATGTCGCGAAACTCGAATATGTTGTAGCTCTTAATCTCAGCTACCGTTCCCAATTTGAATCATGTTGATTGATGAAGTATTCGCGACGCTATGGCTTTCGACGCACTAGGGGGTAAGCTGTAGGAGGAGAACTTAACTCAATCTCAAAATTCAATCAAAGTTCAAGAATCTCACAAGGAATTAGAAGGAGCAAGAGAAAGGTTGGGATATGAAGAGAGGGATGAGAGGGAAGGTCCCAAGAGAGTCCCCAACCAAGGAAACCCCATAAGCACAAAGATTCCCTCCCTATAGGAACCTCAACTTTGACCTTTGTCCCTTCCCAACCAATCCATCCAAGTTGGCCACCCTTGCCAACCTAGCTTGGTTGTTCCCAACCAATTTTGCAGCTGTTACAGTAGAGTGACAAGTTTCCCCAACCCCAAAGGTCCCAACTCCACATAAAGTCACCCCACAACTTCACTTAGTAACCGCCGCAATTGTAACGCAAGCTCATGAACTTTGAATCTTCATAGCTTTCGCGTTCTTGCTCCGATTGAAGCGATTCTTGTTGCGTCGGAAAGATCTTCTCAAGATCTATTATCACAAATACCTGCTCAAACAAAAATAACACAAAACACATTCCCAAACTCCAGAACACACCACACACAAATTCTTGCACATTCAAACCACACATGCAAGTTAAAAAAACATGGGATGGGAGGCAGACAGAATGTGATAGCATATGATGACATCACACAACACTTACTGTACCTACCAAGTCACCACTACGAAAACTCTTTATCTTAATGGGCATGTTGATGCTGATCATGCAGCAGATACGTCTAATCGTCGATCTTCCACCGGCTTCGTCTATCGTTTCGAACCTATCGGGACCATCTCATGGAATTCTACAAAGCAAGAACTCAGCTCTATCATCTGTTGAAGCCGAGTTTATAGCAGCTTGCACAGCTACTTGTGAAGGTACTTACAAGAGCTACTGGAGGAAGCAAGTACACAGTTCACCTTGCAGTGCGACAACCAAAGTGGGATCAAAATCGTGCACCAGCCTAGCTTCGTCAACAGGACGAAACACATTTCCCTACGATAAATCTTCATCAAGGATGAAGTTGAAAAGGGGAGGATGCGATTGATCTACTGCTCGACCAATAAAATGGCTGCAGATTTTCTCACCAAGAAGCTGACACATAAGAAGTTCCAAGACTGCAACAAGCTCTACGGAATCATCAAGAAGTGACACGATTGGACTTTCATAAATGAAGGGGAGAGTTGTGATAAATTCATACTTAAGAATTAATGTAAGTAGTTCCGATCGATATTATCGATTTATACTGTAGTTAGCATCCGTAGAATGACGTCAGCAAATAGCACTCGTCTCAATGACTACGCCACCAGGCCGTTTCAGACAGGCGAACAGTCGCGCCCCTTTCAGTAGCGATTAGAGCGCATATCGCGAATAGTTTTGAACAGATACATTACCGAATAGGTACTTCTCGTTTACATAAAAAGTACCATTCCTCTCTTCTATTATTCAATTGTTCTTCAGTCAATTCCGGACACCACTCACACCACTCTATCCTCACGCGTGTCCTTCCATATTATGTATTGCGCTACTAGTACAATCAAAGTGTAATATCAAGAATGCATAAGGAAACTCTGTCGAGTATACTTCAACACTCCCTTTCATTCCTAAGTGTATGTCTCTGGGTACAGTGGCGGATTAAATTGCCCGGATGTTTAACACTTTGAAACGTATCGTTATGCAACACATGTTTCGAAAATAGTAACACCCGTTTTTTTCCATTCTGTTACTCGGTTTTTGAGTTCTGCTTCATCCGTTTCTTGCTTGGCGCGATTGTGACACTAACGGAAAGTGGGGTTGAAATTTACTACTCGACTGTCGATGTGGACATTTCCTACCGAGCGGAAGAGTAGATCTATTTTCCCCCGTCGCTCAGTGTGTACATCGTCACGCGCACCAGTTCCTAGCTTAGTTGTTAGTCCGGAAGCGAGCCTACGACCGCATCGCTATGAAGCCGTTAAATGAGAAGAAGCGCGCGAGGATCAGAAGCATGTTGCGTGCGGGGCATTCGACTAGGAAAATAGGGAAACTTCTTGGCATAGGCAAGAGCACCGTGCACGATTACGGTATGAAACTCGCTGAGGAGACTAGTCGCGAGGAGGTGCGACCTACGATGCCTTCGGCCGGCCGCCCCCGCTTAATCACAACCCGTCTCCAGCGCGGAGTTATACGTGCGATTACTAGCGGCGAGGCGAAAAGCTCTTCAGACGCGGCCAAGATGTTGTTGGAGAAGCACGATCTCGCCGTAGACTCGAAGACGGTCCGCAACTCTTTACGATCCGCGGGGCTGATCGCCGTGCATCAGCCCAAGAAACCCAGGCTCTCACCGAAAAACATCCGCGATCGTCTCGACTTCGCGCGGGCGCATGCCGACTGGACGCTGGAGGACTGGAAGCGGGTGATTTGGTCTGACGAGACGAAGATTAACCGCTACTGCTCCGACGGACGTGCGTACGCCTGGATTCGCGAGGGCACCAGCCTTCGGAGCCACCAAGTCCAACAGACAGTTAAGCATGGGGGCGGTTCTGTGATGGTGTGGGGTTGCATGACGTATGAGGGGGCGGGGTTCATGTGCAAGATAGATGGCAGGATGGATGGGCCGCTGTATCGCAGCATCTTGCAAGATGAGCTCAAACAGACCATCGATTTTTTCAAGCTTTCCCCCTCAGAGGTCATTTTCCAGCACGACAATGATCCCAAGCACAGGTGTCGTCTGGTCCAAGACTGGCTTGGGGAGCAGGAGTACGCGGTGCTGGAATGGCCGTCGTGCTCCCCGGACCTTAACCCAATTGAGCACCTGTGGGCATACTTGAAAAGGCAGCTGGGGAAGTACGAAAAGCCGCCAAGGGGAATGCTGGAGCTGTGGGAGAGGGTGCAGGAGGAATGGGACAAGATACCGCCGGAGGTGTGTGCAAACCTGATCGACAGCCTGCCGAGGAGGATCAAGGCAGTGATTCGGGCAAAGGGACGCTGGACTAGGTACTAGTTTTCCTAGAATCTAGTGTGATACCATTTTCCGGTACAAATTGTCCACATGTTCTCCCATGCTATGCTTAGGAGTTTAAGGACCATGTGTGGTACTACTTTGGTGTTTGAACACTGGAGTGACTGCTCTAACTGAACTTCTCAGCGTTAATGCACACCGTACATTAAGGCTTAATGTATACGCCTCTGCACTCATAAAAATGCCAAAAAAGGCAAAACATGTGGACAATTTAATCCGCCACTGTAAGTGTCGCTGCGTTTGCAGATTCCAACCAAGTTGGAGCAGAATTGAAACTTGCTGTGTGGGGGTTTCTTCGTCAGGAAATCAGCTGCCATTTCTTCAGTAGGGCAGTATTTCAGGATTACCTTCCCTTAGTCGATTTCCTCCTTGATGAAGAAGTAACGGAGGGTGATGTGGTTTGTCCTGTTGACGAAGCCGGGCTTGTTTGCAATCTTGATTGCGCTCTGGTTCTGACAGAGTAACTCGAAGTTGTGTGTCGTTGCAATTTTTGCCTCTTGAAGTAACTCTTGAATATAGAGTCCTTTGCGAACTGCAAAGCTTGCTGCGACAAATTCTGCTTCGGCTGGCGAAAGTGTGATGACCTCCTACTTTGTTGAGTTCCAAGAAATGATACCACCTGGTTCGGGTTTGAAAATGAACCCTGTACGTGGACGCCTATTGTCAAGGTCAGCATCATGATACGCATCAACGTATCCAATCAGTCGAAAAATTGCTGCAGTATTTGTCATGTAGCTGAGACGGATTGTAGGAGTAGAATTGAAATATTGGAGGGCTTGACGAAGATTGGCCATATTCTCCCGTTCAGATCGGCGCATGTACTGTGCGTGCTGACTCGTGATGTTGGCAAGATCTGGGCGGCACGTAACGATTGCAAATAGAAGACACATGAGTTGCTGTTGGTAAAGCTGATGCTCGGAGGCAGTAAGTGGGGTAGTACAGGGTCTATGATCGGCTCGAAGATAACAAAATGGAGTGGTGAAGTCGATAGGAGCGATGGGGAACTTTTTTGCAGGTGATTCTACGTACTTGTTTGTAGAAAGCTAGATGGCATCGGGGCCGCAGTCGACGTTTAACCCAAGAATTTGGGTGACGTTGGAGGAAATAGTCACTTCAAGAATCTTTTGGATTCTTTCCCCCATGCGCGCCAAAAGACTGTTGCACGAGCCGGTGTACAGTAAGTCGTCCACGTAGGCGACTAGAAGAATGCAATACCCTCGAAATTTGAGTCTGTACATTCCAGGGTCGTGGGGCAGCTGCACGAAGTCGAGTGAAATCAGAACCTTGTGAATGTGCTACTGCCAAAGGTGAGGAGTCTGTTTGATGTCGTAGGATGATTTAAGTAACTTGCAAATATAAAGTCCGTCACCGTAACAGTGAGGGAGTTCGATGAAAATATGTGCATCGACGTCTGCGTATAAAAATGCTTTTTTTACGTCCAGTTGAGGAAGTGGCTGATGGTGGCTGGCAGCAATTGCGAGTTGGCGAACTGAGGTATGGCGGCTGTCCGGAGCAAAAGTCTGGTCGTAGTCGATGCCATGGGTTTGTTCGAAACCTCGAACGACCCATCTCCCTTTAAACCTATCTGGTTCGCCAGGTATTTGTCTTTATGCGAAAAACCCACTTGTCTGAAAGAATTTTCTTGTCGTGCGCAGCTTTGCGTGGAACGAGTTTCCACGTTTTTCGCTTCTCGAGAGCTGCTACCTCTGCACACCCATAATTGCTTGCCATTTGTCAGCATTAGGGCCAGACAGGGACTGCTTGACTGTTTTCGGCTTGATCCCAACCATTGGTTTCTGAATTGCGACAGCAAGAACAAGGATCTGAAGAGCCGATTGGTCACCACAAGGATGAGGTTGGCAAACTTTGACGGCATCATCATCGACGATTTCGGATTGCAGATGGCGGGCACCGTCATGTGAAGCTGCGTCGGTTTTCTGTCAGCGCAGGTGCTCCTCATAATTATAGGCAGCCTGTGTTGTGGCAGGACGCAACGGTTCCGAGAGGGGAATGAAGAGTGGGGTTTCTGTGTTGTTCGCACGTGTCGAAGGAATATATGATTTGAATAGTGCTGCGTCATGGGAGGAAGGATTAGGTACAGCTACTGATGTAGACGGTTGCGGAACTCTAAAGGTCCTGCTGCTGCGTTGTCGGGCGGATAATATTCTTCGGCTGCATCTGCTTCGCCTTCAGGGGTGGCGAAATCTCGTTCGACACTGTAGCGATTAGGATCCCACCACTGGCGTGCCTTGTTGCGTTCGAAAGCATAGAGAAAAATTTTCTTGTAGAAGACGCAGTCTCGGGCATACAAAACTTTTCGGGTTTCGAAATCTATAAATATCAAGTAGGAATCCTTAGGTACACCAAGGTGTATTCCGCATCGAGCCCGTTCAGTAAATCTGCCCACGGTTGTGCTCGGAGGTCTGTATTAGAAAATGCAGCCCCAAACTTGTAAAAGTCGAGTGTTGACGGGATGTTTTGTCAACATGACGTGTGGTGAGCTGAATTGAGGTAAATCAGTTGAAGGCAGGCAGTTGTGTAGGCGGACAGCTTGCGCCATCGCAAACGGCCAAAAGTCTGCTGTCAAGCT